GATTTACACTGGCAAGCATAATCTCTTTTCTCAGCCAACCGAACTCCTACTTACCCCTTTTTATCCTCAAAAGTGTTAATGTTAATCTAATTATTAATATTCTTGTAACCATATTTTTTACATCCGACTCACACTTTTACAAATTTGGTATCTTTGGACCTACTCTATTCACACGTTTACCAAGGTAATTCAACAGAAGGACGCACATCTCCGTTCTCGAACATAGCGCGTGCGTACAGTCCTTTGATCTTTACTGTCGCATCGACAATCCGATACTAGTTGCGAGTACAGCCGTCAATTCGTCGCTCACACATCACGAACTAACACAATTAAATTCAATTGTGTTAGTTCAAAAAAAGCGCGTCAAAATACGGGCGTGCTGCTGTCGTTAAGGACTTTTTGTTTGGTAAAGAATACAAAATTGCTTGACAACCAATACGCACTCGTTTCGACGCGCTACTGTGATTTCACGAACTAACACAATCTACTTTGATTGTGTTAGTTCGTGATGTGAGCGACGAATTATTAGTCTATGCGTACCATTCGTTTTATGGTGTTGGTTTTTATTTTATTAATTTTGGGTACTTCGCAATGTCTGTTACATCTGATTTTTTTTGACCGCGAGCTTGTTAAATGCTTCTATAAACTGCAATTTGATTTGTAAAAATTGACCAAGAAAATGAAAAGTTATAGCAATTTAAAATTTACAAATTTTATAAAATTTCATGTTCTTATGTAACATTAATCTGTCATTTTGACAAGGTTAGCATAAGGTGCCGAAAACGAACATTTGAGTATATACAGAACATTTATTAATTTTTTATGCGAAGTGAGTCTCATGAACGACAATTCACCACAATTTGGTAAAATTAATGTTGAAATGAAGAATATATTTCAGTCTAATGTTATTGCAAAATATCATTAATCCTTTGCAATCATTGCGCGACGCGCGATTATCATGGCAACTAACACGCGCGTGGGTAATTCGTCACGTACGCTGACGGTTTTTATGGTCTGTTTGCTAAGGTTTTTGTGACGTTCAGCGTGCAGGGACGCACGTGCGCCTAGAATGTCGATGCCAGAGTTATAACCTTTGCCTTGCATTTACCGACTACCATCATTTGATTTATTATAATTAAAATCTACATTCCATTCTTTAGTAAATTTATCTGCGACGTCCAACATTTTTGACATATTAAATTCGTTTTCAGCAATAAGTACTACATCGTCTGCCCATAATAATCCTCCTATACAGACACCTTTAATTCTTACACCTAATTCACCATTTGTGTTTATGGCTGTATCACCATTAATAATAATAATATATTGATAATAATAATAATAATAATAATAATAATAATAATAATAATAATAATAATAATAATAATAATAATAATAATAATAATAATAATAATAATAATAAAAGTAATAGATTGATTTATATAGCGCAAATAAACGAGGTCTTTTAAGAGATTACTTTTCCAGTTCTGGCATTAAAGTCTCCCATTATGAGAACAATTCTATTAACCATACACTGGTCATTATATTAACTGTTGTTTTATGTACTAAATAATTACTATTTTCTTAATAATCATTTCTTATAACATAACAGATTGGATAGATGGCGCTATCACGTGGTGTGTATTTTGTATGTATACTCTACACCTGCATAAGATGAGAATCAAAGGCGCTAAAAATAGAAAGGAAAGGTGTTCGTATGGAACCTAACCAGGATCCAGTTGGGTCGAAAGAATTCATTCCAAAGGATTGAAGTGAGAGGTTTTAATATTATCATTAATCCAGTTTATGTATGCACTGAAAAAAATTATTGGAAAAAAAACACATTATAAAACGGTATACTCTCTGCAGATCAACAAAGAAAATGCTAAATACTGTACACACATACCGTTCATGATAGCCTTTCACTACTTCATAAAGGTCAGAGTGCTTTTCGCTTTTTATACTTTTCCACAAAAAAAAAAGAAAAAAAGAAGGAAAAAAAAAATAACAATTATAGCTAAAATATTATAATAACTCTAATAATAAGTTTAAATGATAATTGCATAATACAATAATAGCTCTATGTTGAAATGACGTCATCATCCATTAATTACAATCTTAAATGTATACACTAAGGCTGCATGTAATACAATATATTTACACCTACCCATGATGCCTAATGGCTTCTTAATTTTATAACAGGATTAACTACTGAGATTATCAATTACGAAGCGATTTGACTGCTCTTTGAAAGTACGAATTATTCCGAATTACTGTTTCCAATCATCAGAACACCATAATTTAATTGTTAACAAAACGCTACGATTAAAGTCAAGCCAGATTGGAACCATTAAGATGGGGAGTCAATGACACCTTGTGATGGACATGATGTCACTTTACCACTTCCTAGTATGTATCAATATAATATAATAAATACTGTATAGATATTGATCGCTTAAATGTGATGAACATGTCCGGCATACAAGATAAATACCGGTACACATTCCTTAATGTGAAGCTATATTGCAACACAAGCAATGCCATAGCCAGCTATTGGGACAGTTGGGACAGTCCCACACAATTTTTCTAATGGGTCCACAAAGAATGGTTCCACGTTTTTAAAAATTAGTCCAAATTATGCAATTTCATACATAAAAAATGAGTCCACGTTTTGAAAAAATGGGTGGTCTAAAATGGGTAAATTAAGAAAATTGGTTCAGATTTTTCATTTTTGAAAAATGGGTCAACTTGAAAAAAAATGGGTCCACGCTATTTGAATTTACGTGTAAAGTGGGTCCATCCTTATATTGTCTAACACTTTGAAAATCTTGGCTACGGCATTGAACTCAAGTGATGTATTAATACTTTTCTCAGCTGGATTCAGTGGCAACGGCGGCATCGATGGTGGTAGCAGCGGCCACCCTACGATATGTTTCGATTCATATCTTATACAAAGGTACCCCTGGGTAGCAGTGGCGTGCCTGGAAGTGCTCGTGCCTCAGAATATAAAAGCTCACGCACCTCAGTCTACCCCAACCCCAATTCGCACTGGAAATCATTGGAACAAAATAAAAATGAAAGCGAAAATTGTTAAATATCAACTCATACAACCTTACTTTACCAGCTAGCGCCCTTCACTTTAACATCGACTTCTCTGACTGAAACTCCCCACCCCATCAGCTCCTCCATGTCAATACTCCTATAAACTAAGAGGAGTGTATGTAGATAAATTCTCGTTTTGTAAGTATTGTAAAGTAAAGTATTGTAAAAGAGCGTTACCATCTCATCTGATATTAGCCTATCCTGCCTAATTATGTTCTAATATTAATAATGATAAAAATAATAACACTCCCCTCCAACAAAAATCAAACATTGTAAAAATAACATCACTTTAATAATATTATAAACATTTGAATTACAAAACATCGAAGACGTTCAAGCGCATTATACCTTGATAAAGAGCCGGGGTGAACACTCCATAATTGTTTTTGTGGAGTGAAGTCATACAGGTATAAGCTTACTGTATGCCTTTGATGTGATTATACAATTTACAGAGGATACAAAAGTCAAAGAAACATGATTTATTTTAAGAGAAAAGAAGTGTAATAGTTGTAAATTGGATTGTAGTCAATTGGTTATCAAAATTCAAAGATGATTAGATCTCTATTAGTAGGCTATTCTGGCCACTCTCAAAACGTACGCCAGTCTTTTGTGAGCCACGTGGTCTTAGCTACTGGAGCAAACAATTAACATTGATTAATCTTTGTGCAGAGAATTAACCAGATACAGTAATTGGATTATATTTAACAAACAATCCAACCAAGTGAAACAGTTCTGCCGTTTATCAGCGATTTTCTACTAATTGATTGAATTATATTTACTAATGGCTTGTCTGAATTTGTATATAAAGCAACTGATAATAGAATCCAATCAGAATACAAACAGTATAAGCTCAAGGTTACGTGACTCGGACACGTTTAAAAGAAAAACAAATCACCTATCAAATATTTAAAGATAAAAAAAAGTGTTTAAATAATGGAACAGCTTAAAGCCTTTGTATCCAAGTCATTTGCAAACGAGGAAAATGTAAAATCCGCCACGAAAGATGGGTCTCACAATTCATTGAACTGGATTCGCATTTACGAGGAGCACTCGACAAAAATTCCACAAATTGATGATTCTGGATCAGATTCGTCTATTGATGTTCAAACCTGCAGCCGGTCCCGAAAACACGGTGTAGTAGAATCGACGCACAGCAAACTGATTATTGAAAAATGTGGCACATCAAAACAATTAGAACAGAACAAAAAAGACGGTAAAGATTTATCCATTTGTTTTTCCTTCAATTTATTTGTTAATTTCTAATACTAAATATCCAATACAGGAGTAACCATCTTTAACTTTTCAGATTTGTCTTTCTATTTTCCATTTTTACACCTAATACTATCTTTTATGTTAGGTTCTGAGCCAAATGTCAAAGACGCCCACTGTCCCTTGAAAATGAAAAAATTAACTTAGTCATTTAATTGCAGTAACATACAAATTATTAACTTGGGTCTAGAAATATTAAATTTAAATAATGTGTACCCTGATTTTTATAGTAGATAATGATAATAAAAAAATTAAAACACTTTTAGCGACTGGATGTGTTTTCAGTATTCGCAGTAAAACAATGGGTAGGCCTAATATTTTTAAATACGCTAATTTATATGTTCAAATTGATAATTTTTTATGTTTAAAGTTAATTTCAAAAATGATTTTTATGTTTTGTTTGCTATTCTGCATGGGTTAATACTGTACATTTTCGATATAAGAAAATTTATTGATTAAAAAATGATTTCGCTTATTAACATATTATCTAACATGACTGAATTATATTCACACAAGCTGCACTTATTTTCGTATGTGATTATTCATTATTCAATTTAGTGTGATAATTAAGTTGGTAACGGCTTTTAATCAACGTTATTTTGATCATCATTATTATTATCATTATAATTATCATTATCATTATCATCATCATTATTATTATTATTCAACTAAACAACACTGAACCAATATGCTTGGTCTATCATTACAATGTGGGTATGCAAATAGTTTAATATTTATTATAGAAAAATACACATTTTCTTACTTTTATAAAGAAGAGAAAGGGATAAATTCTTCAAACAATGTACCAGAACATGAAACATGCGGACACCAAAGATTGACAAAGGAGAAAATGAAACTAAAGCAACGCCGAAGTCGAACAAACTTTACCATGGAACAGCTAAGCGAACTTGAAAAGTTATTTGAAGAAACGCACTACCCAGACGCATTCATGCGTGAAGAACTGAGTCGTAAGCTGGGGCTCTCAGAAGCACGTGTTCAGGTTGTAATAATACATCTTGTTATAATAGTACTATTGAATTTTCACTTATATGATAAAGCAATAATAATTTACATTTATATTAAATATCTTAAAGATATGTAAATTTTATATATATTTTCAATGTTTATTAATTATTAAAATATGACATTATACTAATATTTAAACACTAGAATATCAAATAGAATACCAATTACTAAAAATACCATATTGTATTCATTACATTGATAAAAGTTAAATGTTACAGGTTATTCATTTATATTGCGCAAAATACGAGTAATATTATACTATTATAGTAATATTTTTAATACTATTTTTATCAAATATTAAACTTCCTCATTAAATAACCTATTCACTATAGGCCTAATATAAATGAATGTCCGATATTATCAAACATTTTCAAAAAAGGTATTACTTACTATATAAAATAAATAAAATTATACAGCATTCATTTGTGTAAACATTCAACATCCATCAACTTGGAAATAATCTGTTTTTTATATATCCAAGCTGTTTTTGTCTCCGAAATGTTTCTGTTTCGTCATCATTTGTTTTGATATTAAAATATTTGCTTATAATCAAACGTTAATTGTTTTGTTAATATTAAATTTAGATAAAACTTTTATCGTATAAATGCTCACTAAAATCGTCAAAATGATAGTTTCATAAACGGTAATAAGGAGATTTCGCAACCTACGAGAAGGATAACGAATACGTCACCAGGGAGATTTCGCAACCTATGAAAACGATAACGAATACGAATACGTCATTATCATTATCGTCATTCCGTGCCTAAAACATTCTTGACAAATATGCTGTACGAGCTGCATATTATCCTTGATTCATGCAAAAGGCATGAATCGCTACGTGCTGATAGATACGCTACTGTAGGGGAAGGGCTGTCTAAAAAAATTGACGACGTGACCGTATTCAAAAGATTCAAAATAACTTTATTTGCAAACTTTGAAATGTACAGAAAAATAGATAGTAATATACAAAATATAAATATGAAACATTTAAAATTCTCGTTTAAAATCATCACAACATTAAAGTATAAAAAAAAATAGGAAAACATTATAAATGATACAATTACAACAACCACAGCAACAACTACTGCTACAAAACAAGTAAAAGAAAAAGCAGGGTATCGTACCAAGAAATGATTACCCAAAATTAGGGAAATTAAAAATTAAAAATTAAAAAATTAAAAATTAAAAGAGCCTACAGGAAATTTTATCTCATTAATTTTAATAATTTATTAAGTGGGGGGAGCGAGAGGGAAGGGGAGGAAGTGGGAAAGCTTGTCGAGGGAAAATTTCACCATTTGGCCTACTTATCGTTTCGTAAGACTGCGAAAGCTTACTACTGACATTTTTTTTTTATATTTTAATTACATTACATGATTTTGCCTACAAATACAAATTATCTAACCACACACGTTTTGTTGATAAACTTTGGAAAGTCATATTTTAACGACACACGTTCGCTTCAGTTTCTTCGATTTATAAAATCGATTTTTATTACACTAAATTGTTCATACATGCGTAAAATTACATTTTACTTAATAATATAGCAAATTTTTTTTTTTAAAGTAGGCCTATAGTTTAATTGACGCATTAAATTAAATTATAACATGCATTTATTGCTGTACGAGTTCTGTCAAATTTCATTAGCATTGTGTGGTTCAAAATTGATATTAACTAAGAATGAGAAGGAAACACGATCTTGCCAGCTAATGTATAATGATGCTTTTTCCATTTGGACTCGTACGCTGTAACTTTTAAAACTGCTACCGGGTATTGTATACAATTTGTTTAGTAGTATGTCACCTAATTAAATTATTATTTAACATAATATGCAATATACAGTATTGCAATCTGGCGTGTTGGCTGACTGATGCATGAGCGAATTGATTGACGTGTAATTATTGCATAAGGCCTCCAGTAAATACCATCTACTGACAAATTGATGTAATAGATCATCCTTGATCCAAGCTCCTAAATGGGCTGTAAACTCGCACCACACTGTATTGAAAAACAAGCTTCAATAGCCAGAATAGTCTGTAGAACATGAATTTTGTGTGAATTGGGTTTTTGTGTAATAAATAATGTATAACTATTGATCTTACTATTCTTGAAGTTTGAGTTTAAAATTCCTATTGTAAAAGGTAAAATTTAGCCATTTTTGGGTGGGAGTTAGTGAAAAATGAATAGAAACCTACCAAAAACAAAAGCAAGCTTGATTTAAGAAAGTTCATAAGATGATAATTATTCAAACGGTCATCGATTTTTATTACACTAAATTGTTCATACATGCGTAAAATTACATTTTACTTAATAATATAGCAATTTTTTTTAAAAGTAGGCCTATAGTTTAATTGACGCATTAAATTAAATTATAACATGCATTTATTGCTGTACGAGTTCTGTCAAATTTCATTAGCATTGTGTGGTTCAAAATTGATATTAACTAAGAATGAGAAGGAAACACGATCTTGCCAGCTAATGTATAATGATGCTTTTTCCATTTGGACTCGTACGCTGTAACTTTTAAAACTGCTACCGGGTATTGTATACAATTTGTTTAGTAGTATGTCACCTAATTAAATTATTATTTAACATAATATGCAATATACAGTATTGCAATCTGGCGTGTTGGCTGACTGATGCATGAGCGAATTGATTGACGTATAATTATTGCATAAGGCCTCCAGTAAATACCATCTATTGACGAATTGATGTAATAGATCATCCGTGATCCAAGCTCCTAAATGGGCTGTAAACTCGCACCGCACTGTATTGAAAAACAAGCTTCAAAAGCCAGAATAGTCTGTAGAACTTGAATTTTGTGTGAATTGGGTTTTTGTGTAATAAATAATGTATTAATCTTACTATTCTTGAAGTTTGAGTTTAAAATTCCTATTGTAAAAGGTAAAAATTTAGCCATTTTCGGGTGGGAGTTAGTGAAAAATGAATAGAAACCTACCAGAAACAAAAGCAAGCTTGATTTAATAAAGTTCATAAGATGATAATTATTCAAACGGTCAAAACCTTGCTTCCAGACACCCGATTGAGTTAATTTAACTGTCATTTTAAAGTAAATGATATGTTTTATACTCATAACAAAAATGTGTGCCTGTTTATCTTGCAAAAGGGATAGGTACTACGAGAAGGACAGTGAAGTAGTCGCTATTGGCAATCATCGGAGTGTGTGCATGTGTGCCTAAATAAATAAATAAAAATAATATATATATAGGCCTATATATATATATACATATATATATATACATACATACATACATATAGATATCTATTGGCCTATATATACATATATATGTGTGTGTATATATATAATTACGCGATGTAGGCAATTTTACCATCGTATGTAAACATGTATTATGTCTTGCAAACATTAAAATGATATAGCACTGTTTCTTTAATTAATTGATTATTTATAGAGATATAAATGAAGCGAATTTAAACATAGATTTCTAAAAAAACTTTGTAAATCTAATATTTCTTCCCTTCTATCGTTTCCTTTAACAGTGAGTTATTATATGCGATTGGATTGGATTGTATTTGTTTATTGTGAAACACACTTAAGCTACGAATAATAATACGAAATAATTGCTTCCAGTATAGTCGATTATATAATATTCATATAGGCCTAGCATAATAAAATTGGGTTAATTGTAAATTGAAACTGCCAACAATAATTAGAGTATGTAGGCCTTTTATATCTATGTTATATGCCTGTTGATGGTAACATTAGCCTACATATACATATGTTTTATATTATATTTAATAACAATCTAATTTAGCTATTACTTTGCTGATTAATATGAAATACATAACAATAGCAGAAGCAAATTCAGTTACTGATTTTTAATAGATATAAGCATACATAAATTTGCGTCAACCAATGTTGCTGATATTATTTTAAATTTCTGTATTTAATTTCTATCAATTAATACGGAGATGCGCTCGAAAGTGATTAAGTTCACTATTGCTTTTTCCCCCGGGCATTGATTTGACTTTCTTTATTTTACTGTTTTGCTTATTGTTCATTACTATTTGTTGTAAATGCTTACCGGATAAATAAATGAAATGAAATGAAATGCTCTGTTATGGTTTGATGTACAGTAAAATCGGAGAAACTCAGAAATATCAACAAATGCATTTCATTTAAAAAAAAATCATTTTAAGTTAATAACGTAACAGAATAGATATCGTACAAAGAATGATGCAAACAAAAAACAAGTATCATACCATTAATGAACAGGTTCCCGAAGCACTTCTGACAAATATTAATAGTTTCATGTAACTTACATAATTATGGCACTATTATTAAAGTGAAACTTAGCGGAAAAACAAATTGATATGCTGTTTTACTGATTTTTCTAAAACAGCCACTGCCACAGGCCACTGCACAGTAGTTGTAGGTCTACATAGTGTTTCTATTACCAATAATAAAATGGTATAATATTTTCAGGTGTGGTTTCAAAACCGGAGAGCCAAATGCCGCAAGCAAGAAACTCATTTTGGAAAAGGTAATTACTGTTTTGTGTGTGTTAAACTCAGGGTTGACCGAATGACCCATTTTCGATTTACTTGTGTACTTGTATTGCTATCTCTTTGTTACTTTTCATGTGTATTTTGAGAATTGCTCTCTGACTAATTGCTAAACCTGAGTCCCAATATTTAATGCTCAATTCGAGCCTGAGTCACAAACGAACCCAACACGTTAAGTTTTCATTTTTCTAATAATTATCTGAGATGAGAGTTGTTATCCACAATTAATATGATGCCGTCATGAGCTTATAAGCAATTTACCTAAAAATAATTACTTAAATAGGCCTATCAGGAATAATCATATTATGCTATATTTGAAAGGCGTCCAATTAATGTTATTTTTGAATTCTTTTTTACTATATGAATGATTATTTCTGAAATAATTTACCAATTCCAATACTTTGTGATATCAAATGAATAATTTACTTTCATTGAGGGACCCCATCTAACGTTGATAATCTAATTTTTGGTTACCACTTAATATACAAGCTTATAGGTTTCTATAGCAACCTTTCATTTTAAATTTTAAAAGCATGGTCCATTACTATTCATGACTATAAGTTAAAGGATAATCAAAAGTCTATAGTTTTGTTTGTTTTATTTATTTATTTATTTTTTTGCTATTATGAGAAATGAATCAAATGTATTTTACTTGACGCTAACTGAAGTCCATTAACCAATCAATACTGTAATTATTATAAACTTCTTTTTCATTTAGGATTCGGCGGTAATCTTGTAGGAAAACCCTTACCAGTAGATTCTTGCCGCGTGGCTCCATATCTAAGCGTTGGATCAGTGAAGCTGCCGATTGATCGATTACAGGCCCAACTTCAAATGAATCTAACTCAGCCCGAACCAAGGCCCATTGCCCCCTTTTTTACTCACCCGTTACTGATGTTCCCCACAGGCACATACCAGTTTCCTCTGGCCACGCTTATGGGCGGAGTTATGACGTCCCATAAGGCGGCGAGTATCGAGGACTTGAGATCAAAGGCAAAACGGCATGCTGCGGCGTTTGGTCTTTTATAATTATCTATTATTAAAATATTTAACATTAATATAATTTTTAAAAAAATAACATTATAATAGTAAAATGCTGGATAACCATAGAGGAAAGAAGATGGAATGTTGAGAGTGGTAAATAAATTGTAAAGTGAATGGGTTGGGATGAATATGTGATATCTGGCTACGAATGATACAGTGACATGGACTATGGAATGAAAGACAAGAAAGAGACCGAAAAAGTGCGAATAATGTTCGGTAAAATAATATATCTATTTATAAAGGCTTAAACTCATTACTCTGTTAGGTTAATACCAGGAGGTTTGGCCTCATGATGATCACTACGACTTGAGAAGATTTAAGCTATTGAATGAATTACTAATCATATGCCTATATCAATAGCTTGATAATTTTTTTGCCAAATCGTTTCTTCCGGTCAGCATCATTTATATATGGTTATGATGGCAAAGTTGACGAAGACTCTCGAATATAATTTTGAGGTAGCGCTGGCGCTTTGATTTTGCATATACATTTATAGTCATGGTAGGTGTACCTGTACTTAGCTATACCGCTTTATATTTTTTAATGTTCCTTAAAACCAAGATGTACATAAATGAGGTACTCTCTAAAACATCTCTTGTAGTAATGCAACCCATTCAACCCTGATCATATAAATTCAGAAAATACTTGTTAAAATTTATTTGCTATTTTATGCTACTATATCATTAAAATTGTTTGTGTAAATTATAATGGCTAATGGGCGTTTTCAATTAGTTTAAACTTTTGTACCGCAACTCTCCGTTTCCCGTCAATTGTTTTTATTTTTGTTTGCAAAGAAAATGTACGATTATTGCTGACTGATTACATGTAGTAAAATGAATAAAGACAAATTTAGAAATTTATAAAATGACAACGTAAGCGTTTCCGCGTTGACATGAATTGACTCCGGTTAATTTGAAGTGTTCATGCCTATTAATATGCATATAGGTTAACATATTTCTTAAATTATGCCTGGGCGTCAAACAAACCGAATAGGTTATTCAATATTAAAGAGAGTAAAATAAAAATAAAAAATAAAACACGTAATACAGTTCGCAAAATCGGTTAGGTTGTCTCAAATAGAAGTCGTGAACACAGCACAGCGTTATTTAGTTGGAAACTACATTGTAAAACGTGGTTTAACATAAAATAAACCCGCTTTGTACACCAAACAGTAAGCCTACTAACTTGATTATTTTCATTTTTGCAATGTATTGTCTGCCATACGTTTTGCTTTTGAAGTATCGTATCATGGGACTACAACAGCAACATAAGTAGCACAGCAGTAGCAACAGCAATAATAATAATAATAATAATAATAATAATAATAATAATAATAATAATAACAATAATAACAATAATAATAATAATAATAATAATAATAATAACAATAATAATGATAATTATAATGATTATAATAGTGATAATGATAATAATAATAATAATAACAATAATTTATATTATTATTAATATTGTTGTTACTATTATTACAATAATAATGATAATAATAACAATAATAATAATGATAATAATAGTGATGATGATAATAATAATGATGATAATAATGATAATAACAATAATTTATATTATTATTATTGTTATTATTATTATTATTTATATTAAAATTACGCTTTTCTTAAAGCCTACAGGCACAATGCCAAACCGAAGTCCTCGGTAAATACGTGGGATTCAAAACCTACCGGTCTGATAAACTGAAACAACATAAATCATCAAGGTATCGATTTCACGAAGTAAAAATCACTGTTATATTCCATATTTCAGAAATATTTTGGGAGAAATGTTGACTTTTACCGTCGTTTTTCACTGGAGCGGTAGCTTTTCGGACCACATCTGTTGACGTTTACGTACTTACTTTCCCATTTCCCATTCTGTGTTTCAGTCAGTAGATCTTTATTTTTCTTTGAAACCCTAAGAGTGTAACTTTCAAACACAGCCGATGTTCAAGCACACTGGATTTTCCTGCACAGTCGGTTAACATACACAACCAAGTAGGCCTACAGTCGGTTTTTGGTTTCTCAATTAGCTACAGTAAAACTTTGCTCTGTTGCCCCTGACGAAAATATTATGTTGTATTGTAGACCTACCTTTGCAACTTATATTGATTTTGATGCCAAACAAAAAAGTTTAATTTTCCAATGAAAATGATAGAGAAATACAAGATATTTCCCCAATTAACACTGTTCCTGTTTCATGTTCTTTTAGTGGTTTCTAAATATTTTATGTTATGAAAAATGATATGAAACTCATGCTATCAAAACATGTACCTTAACGCAAAGCGCTTTGTAAAACATGATCTTACCACTGCTGCATTTATGACATTACCTAACTGAACGAGATAACATACATGCAACTATCTTCCTTCAGTGGTCATATTTATTCTATCAAAACTAATGGCAACGTTGGCATACTAGAGGGTAAACGAGTAAAGATTTCATTCCGAATTCCTGTATTCGCCACAGCATTTTTATCCATTAAAGTAATTGTATATGATAATATATAGTATCAAATAAACCAAGGAACAGAAAATAACCCTCAAGAATTCTTATTGAGCTTAGTAGAGTAGATAAACTAAAATTGAAAAGTATACAATTTCAACAACAAAAATAATTATTTTATATTTAGATGCACAACAGGAAAACTTCAATAAAAATGAAGTGCTACCACAAGATTTAAATAAAGCACACTCATCATTTCCCTCTTTTTGAATTACAGTATATATTTAGTTCGGTTGTTATTTATCCATTTCTAATTTAATTCCCTGTGTATTGGAAAAAATAGATTAACTAACCTACAAAGTGATACAAACGTATACCTTCAGTCGAAGTAACATTCTTTTGACATAACGTAACCAATTAGTTATAAAAGCAAAATATTCCGTTGTTGAAGCATGTCCTACCATGTGGTAATTTTGTGTTGGAAATGCAGTGAATTTGAAAGGTTAACTGTGAGAAGTTCTTGTATTAAATGCGAGTACTATACAGTAATACTTTGCACTTAAATTCCGTTCTTACAATAAGACATATCAAATAAACTGGCAGCACTATACAGTTTCAATTTCAATTTATTGTCATTTGCAACACTCACATTACATTACATAGAAATTACTGTGGCTCTTTTTCACATACAGAATTACAATACAGAAATATATAAGAGTAACAGAAACGGTTTGACGATACGTACGTACGTCAAGAATTACAGTTGTCAGTGTACAGAAAAATAGAGGCCAATAAAGCAAGAGAAAATTACTAAAGAGTCTCAGTTGATTTGAGTTTGTATTTGGTGTGAGTATTACCCGAATGGTGTGACTTCTTATTGCATCATTTGGAATATGTTTGAGTGGTTTGAATTTGGTGCGATTGAATTGTTGTTTAATGGGTTGTCTTTAGTATTTTGGCGGATTCGGCTTTCCATATCATGTCTCTGACGTATGTCAATAATTACATTATGAGAGTAATTTGATATATGGCGTCCAATTACTCTACTGTGTGCCAATCCGTACGGGTATATGCTTGTTTAAATATCATAATTAATGTTATCGATTTGATATGATTTAAGTGTAAGGAAATTTGGAATGGTCTCGGGGTTCGGTCTCCAATTAGAGGGTTGACTTTGTTTTAAAAGGTTAAAGATTGTTATTTGGTTTTTAGTCAAAGTGATCTCGAATTAGAGGGATCTCAATTTGGAGGGTGGACTGAATATTAAACATGTTTGTCCCATGAAAATGAAAAAAAAAATGTATTGCTTGGAGGCCTTTGTCATTAGTCCGTGTCATCTTATCTTTTTTTGTGATCACTGACGCGTGTTTGTAATGACTTTGATGTCTCCCCGATGGAAAATTGTGGACAGTGACAGTTTAAACATGCGACTTCGTAGACTACACCACAATTGTCAATTTTGTCGATATTTTTTGGTTGACAAGGTTGTTTTTTATATTTTGTTCTGCGGGAAGAAGTAGGTGTCAAATACGTCGGATTCTTTCTGGCAGTTTTTATATAAGGAGTTCCTATACTTCTTCTTTGCTTGGTTCAATTGTCTATCCGGCTGTGGTTTATGTCCTTTCTCTTCAATTTTTATGTATCATTCTGGGTAATGACACTGTTGTGTAGCCAGCTTTCCTGATGTCATCCATTTCGGTATTTCTCATCTCTGAATCTCCACACTACTTTCTCAGTTCTGAGTACACAATTGTGTTTGTTTTAACTAATCTATGATCTAATGGATGATAGGAATTAAAGCTGATGTGTGTGGGCTTAAACCGAGGTGGTTAATGATCCATTTTCTTTGAGTGTGATCAGCATGTCTGAGAATGGAATGCTGTTTTCAACCATAGGTTCTGTAGTGAACTTAATGTTTTTTGTGGTATCAGCGTTGTTAGTGTAAATTAAGTATATTTGATTATATTTACCTTTATGGATAATATACACCATCTAGCCTATGTATCGCTCCCAGAAAATGGGCTTGGTTTTACTTGGAGCTGCGTTAATGGCCTGTTGATCTAGGCATAAGGTGCGGATTAACCAATAGGGACTGATGGGAATTCCCATAGCAATGCCTTGCTTTTGCCTTAAATGTTGCCGTTAAATGAAAAATAGGCCTAGGTTTTATTCACAATTTGAGTGAAGTTGAATTAGTGGTAAAGATGCCTTCTAATCCCAGGGTCATGGGCTTAATTCCTGTCATAGCACGTCTTTTTCTCACGACTAAAAACAACTCTATATCTCTAAGCCTCATTAAGGAACTTGGCCTATAAAGCATCATTCCGTCCTGTAAGTGAAGAGTGTACTTGCTGTTGGATAAGAAGGAAATAAAAAAATACAATATTTTTTTTTAATAGTTCCCATAATTCTTTTATGTCTGTCACCTGTAGTTTTGAGCTCTTTTGAAGGGTCTGACCTCTTTTGATATTTGAATGCTTTTAGGTGCTCTTCCACTGGCATAGTTACCAACCTGAGAGATTTGAATTTGAAATGCGTGACTACACCAGCTGGCTGGATGAGGGCGTGGGCGTGAGCGTGGCCACCGCAGGGGTCTAGCGGTGAAACCCCGGTGACGGTCGGGTTTGAGTCACATAATCAACGGTTGGTTCTTACAATGAACGCGCAAGACCGCATGCGCCTCCTAAGATTCTACTAAGTGCGTGGTTGGCCGAGTTATTTTGGTCAAAAAATATTCTCGGTGAATTGATTCTCGAACGAGATAACGAAAGTTCTCTAATGACTCAAATTACTGCATGACCGTTTATATTTTTAATAAAACAAATTTCTTGTAATTTAAAAAAAAATTCCCCTGAATTGGTAATAATTCGTTATGACGCATAGACTTGTCCCAAGTGCGTGACAAATTTATGATCACACGTGTTTCTGCAAAATGCGTGTTTCATCCAAAATCACTTTGAAATGCGGGACCGATGCGAGGCGGTTTGTAATTATGCACTGGACGTCACAACCAAGCTGAAATTTCACCTAGTATTCACTTATTGATGAAGATCAGTGCAGTGGTGGCGCCAGGACCTGCCCGACGGAGGGGCTAGTGGAGCGAATCGAGTCTCACTTGGCTGGGGGCCAGGGGGGCCGCCTAGGGCCCCAGTGGGGGTCCAGGGGGCGAAGCCACGGATATTTGATGAATTATGGCGAATTATTTGATAGGCATCGAGTTACTATTATATGACTTTAGACTATGCTTTCTAATGTTGAAATCAGCTTCTAAAACCAAAACATTTTGAATAAAGCAAGAAACAAAGAGTATGCAATGTAACCATCTAATTTATTTCAAATCCTCATTCTTGAAAGTAAAATTCTATATTTTGTAAATTTTGCATGAAATCAACCACGCTGTCATGGTCGAGGTTACTTCACCTATCACGATGTATTCCAACCATCATGAGGCTATCTAAATGAGCATTTGTCATAACAGAACGCATATTATTTTTAATTAGTCTCATTGAATTATTATTATTATTATTATTATTATTATTATTATTATTATTATTATTATTGTTATTGTTGTTGTTGTGATGATGATGAAAAGTTAACACAAACAATATGGTGGCTAAACGAATATTACATGTAAATATTTTTTTTATTTGTTTGTTCCCCGACAAAATTTATCGTCTTCTCCGACGGGCGCGGGGGCTATAGCCACCAAATATTCGTAACAAATGCTGGCTGCTGCTTGCAAATGAATGTGAATTATACATACTCACACTCAGATGACCAACGAGGTACGCATGATATCTCTATCAATGTTTTTGAAAGACTTATGAAATCAATTACTGAACTTTGAAAGATAGCCCAATCCTGATACAAAACTGGCTGATTTTAATCAGCACACAATATGCAGTCCTAGTAAGAACATCCTAATTTGTCACAGTTTAGACCTACAAAAAGAAGTACTGTAATCGTACTGTTGTGTGTCGGATATAGAAATAAAACCTCCCAAAAATAAAATAAAATAAACTTTCTAGGCAATCATAAGAGAAAACAAAGTGTGATCAAATTTTCCAACAGAGTACAAATCCAGATATTCATCTTTCAACAATCCTTTCTATAATCATGATTACAAATGCACAGGGCCCACTGGGTTAACCCCAATGGCCCATAAAGTATTTAGAACTTTTATTCGTAGTCTTTTGTGTAAACTCTAGCAATAAAGACTCTCTAAATAAAATAAAATAAAATTTCAAGGCAATCATGGGGGAGCCACAATGTGATTAACGAGTCCAGATAATCATCTTTCAACAATGCTATCTATAATCATATTTACAAATGCAGAGGGATTAACACCAATGGCCCAAAAAGTATTTAGAACTACTTTAATCGTACTCTTTTTTGTGTAAAACGTAGAAATAAAACTCCCAAGAAGTCAAATAAAATAAAATTTCAAGGCAATCATAAGAGAAATCACAGTGTGATCAAATATTAACCAACAGAGTACGAATCCAGATAATCATCTTGGAACAATGCTATCTATATTCATAGTTACAAATACAGAGGGCCTACTTGGGGTTACCACCAATGGTCGCATTCCTACTACCTATCTCGTCAATTGATTATAGCTGAACCCTTATCATGAACTTTGATTCAACATTTGTGCTGAAAGCAGGGAACGTGGCGGAGATACAGCAGGCCAGCGGAGTATTATTACTATATAAAACAAAAATTCAAAACTTGTTTAGGTAAGAATTAGGACGTCTGTGTTACCTTCTTCATTTCCACGTAGCTTTGATTTATGCATATCTTGATTTTTAGGATTTATAAGGATATTGTATAATTCTTATTGAAAATATATGGATGGCCACAGAACGTATGTCCTCTCAATAACTCACACTCAAATGAAACATTATATTCCGTAGGCCTATGATTAACAAAACTAGGCCATAGAAAACTTACATACAAAATGGTTTTCTTCCTAATATTCTATTTGTTTTTATCATTTATTTTTATGACTCAACAAACCGGCTTGGGGCCCCTGGCTAAGACTTTTTAGGGCACTGCCCTAGACTGGGGTTGGGTCAAAGAGCCCAGTGAGACCGGAGACAACCCGCTTCGGCGCTTTTGTGGTATCATTTAGGGTTCTGTTAATTAAAAGGCAAAATGCAAACTGCTGTTGAATACCCTGGCCCGATTAAGGTCTGGGAGAGCTCATAACTGTTTCACCACTGTCCCAAAAACCAGTTGATTACAATTCGCTGTTTTCTTGTCAGAACACTACAACAACTCCCTGGTCATACTAGTAAAGCGATATTTTTAGGGCAGTACCTGGCTCAATATAGCTCTAGAGAGTTTAAATTCGATGAGTTAAGTTATTCTTCTTAGTGTGTTTTTGTTATAAATTGTGTTGCTCTAATTTATCTTTTAATCTAACTATACCGATATAATTTCAAAAGTAGGTGAACATCTATTTTAGTTATATATATTTTTTGGAGTGAAAGTGTTCTTATTTTTAATTTTAATTTTAATATTTGTTTCTATTAGAACCTAACTCAACCATGCACATAAAAGTCTACCACTTTTAGAGGCTGAATGGCTACTTGCGGTCAAACTCAATTTAGAAAAACAATACTTGGATTTGAAATCATAGGAAACTTTATCATTACGTCATTTTTATTATTATTTGCTAGTAATTCCTAATATGAACAATGGCTGAAAACCAAGTAATACAAGGTTACTGGGAGCCACACACAGCGCGCGCTGATTGGTGCGAACAAAATTATGAAGTGTCGTATCACGTTGCTGAGTTTTGTAAGTATAGTAATTCTTCATTTTTAAACAATCTGTCAATGATTGAAAATACAATACACCTACCTTGAATACCTCATCTGTAGTCATCTTCTTATACTCCTCTCTATTTGGTGTCTTCTCCGTTAGGTTATAAATGTGTTTAAAGTATTTCATTATATATATATATATATATATGTTTTTTACTTCCTCTACCGTCTTAACCATCAAAATCTGCCCTTCATAACATTTTTAAAAAATTTAAATTTCTATTTCTAAAACAGATAACCGGTCCATTTATGCAGTTATTTGTTGAGAGCAGCTTTATCCAGTGGGCTGTGTGCGCTGAACCATAGCGATCTCTCTTGGTCCGTGTTTCAATTTCCATCGCTGCTCTCCTTGTAATTTAGCTGGAGGGCTAAAATGCATGCAAGTTACAATTTCGAATAAGACGTTTAAGCCACTGTTGGTCCCGTGTACATTATGGTCCATGTGTACGTTAAAAAACGCAGTAAACTCTTCGGAAAGTTTAGGGGATTGTCTCCCGGGGAACTGCCAAATCACTCTACTGGAAATTAGTCTTCGCCAGACTTTGGTGGGTTATCCTTGGTGTTTACACAGAACAAACTCATCCATTCATCTGTTTCATTATTTCTTTTCTTCTTCTAATTCGATCATTGTTTCAACATTTCTCCTCTATCCTTTTAAAACAACTTTTAAAACCACTTCTCAAATGCCCTTGTTAGATTCGCTTAAAGTGGCAAGCCAACATTGCTACTGGTCGTTTCCGAATTTTACCTCTTATTCTATTTATTTAGAAAAATAAAAGTACATACGAATTATGAATGCTGAAATGTGATCTCATCTAATTTCATATGTTATTTTTCTACCTTTCTTTAATTTTGTAATATTATTAACAGTCGATTGTTATTTATTTTGTTTTTTTAAATTTTACCTTTTTTTTTTTTTTTTTTTTTTTTTTGTTTTTGTTTGTACGAACGCACCAATTGATATTGAGTGCCACCGATTCAAATGTGTATGTTCAAATAAATAAATAAATAAATAAATGCTGTGTAAACATCATCAGGGGGCGGAACCAGAGATGTCCAAAAGGGTGGGTGGGGGGAAAAAGGAGGCCGAAAGTGGGATGATTGTGAAAACACTATCCTGGAGGTGGGGGTCCGAGGACATTCCCCCGCAAATTTATTTTTTTTTAGACACTCGAAAATAACCTCTAAAGGCGTTTTGGGCGGTTAATTATTTCATGTTCTCTCTTTCTCTTTTTATTTTATAAATTTTGACTTTGCAAAGAAAAATAAGGGTAGGGGCCGACCTTGTCACCTAAAATCCGTCCCTGATCATATACTCTCTATGTTGTGGTTTAGAGCGCGTAGACCCATAATTATTTACTGATTCAAGATGGACCGTTCCTCTAAGCCCTACCCCTTAGACTCTGTCCCACAAAAACGACAACGTAAACGCGCATAAACACGTGTGTTTGTGGGACATGCGAGTATTACTGGTCATTTTCTATTTGTTCAGTTGTTAAATTTGATTGACACTTCGCAAACGATCCATTAACTGTAAATATGAATAATGATGTGAACACGACAATACACAATGTCACAGTGCATATGCAGCGAAAATATTGTTTATGATACAATAATCGTAATCATACATCAAATATAACTATTGTTCATAGTAATCATATAATCATACACAACATAATAAATAATCATCATGATCAGCCACCTTTGGTTTATAACTTAACAAAATAGGATTTATCTATTTATCTATTTTTTTTTTTTCAGGGAATACGGTATCCAATATATTCATCTTCGTTCCTGGAATAATTGGGCTTATTCAATGCATTCGCAATGGAACAGAATCCCGCTTCGCCGTAGGGTATTTAGCAATTATCTGTAAGTATACTGTAGGTCAAGCTAAGTCCGGCAGCCAGTGATGGTTTAGAAAACAACAAATGTCAGTCGCTCTGCAGAAGGCAGAACATCAACAAACAACTAAAACCAAAACAAACTTTATCTCTTTTCCAGAGGGCAGTAGGCAGTCTTTTTAATTTGTTAAACCACGGAGACTTAACCCCCAGGCACTTTCATCATAACTGACTGTAACGCTCACAAAACGTGTGATATAGTGGTAAAGTTTGTAGGTCGAAGCTTGGAAATCATAGTAAATAATATTTAAATTAGGTTTGCACGTAAACACACGTATGCAAACAGTTTCAATAATTATACACTATGTTTCGGTCTATAATAACAACAAAATATGTGAATCATTAGACATGTAGTGTTGTATAATTAAATGACGTAACATTTATTTTTCCCATAGCTGTAAGTGTCGGATCAATTTTGTTTCATATGACTCTTCACCTCACGATGCAGGTAAAGCAAGTACTTTTCATTAAACAGATTCGGTATTAAAAAAGATTATTTGCTAGTCATAAACTATAAGTTAATAGATACACTTTCTTGTACTCCATCTACGTAATATAAAGTGTCTCTTCTATACCTGTCTCTTATACACATCTAGATGTGTATAAGAGACAGATATATGCCTATATATATGCATATATATATAATATATAGTAGGATAGTATCATACTTTTTCATTAATAAAAAATAAAAGCTTAATTTTTTGAAATTTTATTTCAATAGCTATTCGACCAGCTACCTATGGTATGGGCTATTACTGTGTACATGTTTTGTCTGTGAGTATCGGACGCTATATTATGTCTTTCGTACGTGCATATGTGTATATCTTATGTCACTCAGTTACCAACTCTGAAATGACTTAGTTATTGAATGGATTTTGGCGAAATGGATCTCATTGAAGTTACAAAAAAATGTTATGGAAAGGCCATATTTATTCTTTTTTGAATTCATATACTTCATTTTATTTTTTAGTTGCTTCTTATTATCAACGTTACTGTCTTCCAGAAAACGTTCAATGAGAATCCTTGCAGATTTTGCATTCTTCTCACTCTATTAGTCTTGTTTCAACTATTCATTTCTTATTATATATATGTATTATATATATACACATATATATATATACATATATATATATA